TTCTGTTTGGAATGATCACTTCTTGATTGAGCCTCCATGACCCTTCCTACCCTTCCTGTTTTATTACTTTACTGACCTTCATCATTCCCATTTTAACCCACCTCCCCCCCTCCCCCCGCCTTCCCAAAAAAAAGCCAACCCAAATAAAAATGTGTTGATTTTTCACTTGAAATTCGAGAGCAATTTTACATCATTCCAGTTTCGCAGAACGTCCCGCCGTTGCGTTTAGTTATACCGAAAACATATCCCGGTGGTGAAATCCTGGTGGACCGTGCTGCATTAGATTTAGGTATGTGTTTTTGCGTCTTCCACCTTATTCTTTGCAAAAATTTATTTCTGTTTTTTCGAATTTATGGAAAATCTCGCAATAAACTTGCCAAAAAATTGGATGTTCCTTGTTAGAAACGTTTGGTTTCAGATTCGTTTTTCTTTGATGATTTACAAAATGTGATACACGAACGGTTGGCTCGCTCGGGTCTACGAACGGTGACAGATTTTTTGGAAACATGGGTAGGTCTTTTGGAATTCTTAACTTCTTCATAATTAACGCAGCCTTAACTTCATCGTAACATGATATGATGGGTAGAGTTGGAGCTGTTTGAGAATTCTGCATCTTATTTGACTAAAATCTTATCGGAGATTGCACGAAGAGGGACCGATGATTGGCGTAAATTTCGTAGTATCGTCGATTTTTTTAAAATGACATTTAAAAAGAATCGTGCTGTACTCTTTAATACCGCTGTGCTGGAAGCAGTAATGTACCGATGCGAATCGTGGTCACTTACGAAAGTTGAAGAGTCAATACTAGCTATGACGGGAAGAACCATAGAGCGAACGATGCTGATGTATCCCTTCATCACTTTATAAACAGGCAGATCGCCGTCAGATGAACAGTGTACAGGATATGACATTTACTCGAAGAAGCAAAGCATATTGCTCGTCTTACTAATAATTGCTGGACGCTGCATTTTAATAAATGGTACTCTTGAGGAAGAGAACGGAGAGACCATCGAAAAGGTGACGCACTGCGTCAAAAAGGCACTGAGTACTAATCGGAAATATGCAAGTCCGGATCGAAGGGACTGGCATAGCATTACGCTTGGATGCATCCCAGTAACATCTTTGGAAAAATACTCACATTGGAATACCCCGCTCATACTCGTTGTTTTGGTATTTTTGATACTCTTATTAAAATCGAATTTCACGATTAGGTTACGACTTTATAAAATCAAATTTTATGATTAGAAAGGAATTATTTTCTGTTAAAATGTTTTTGAAAATTGAAAGAGAAATTACTACTGGGTGCGCATTCTTCAGGAATCAACAGTGCGTGGCTATTACATGGAACAGCAGCAACTTTCACTGTTACCCAGTTCATTTGACGATATATTGCAAAATGCGAATTTTGATGAATTCTTATCCTGAAAAGGAAGAATCCTTCTCTTTTTCCTTAACTCCAATCAACTGTGTCATCACCATCATCAGATTTTTCAGTGTATTTGTAATTGAATAATAAGCACACGCGCTATGTTTCTCGCAGAATTTGGTCAACTTTTTATAAAAATGCTTTTTTTT